GGAGATAAAATGGGGAGATAAGTACTTAACCCGAGGTACCACTGTAATTATACCCCACACATCTTACTGGGTTCCCCAGCACTCTTCTGTGCAGCTTCTAACATATATAGAAACATAATAAAACAATAAACATTTAAAATAAAAAACTTCGCTATACAGGATTGTCTTCAGGCACCTCGGGGATTGGATAACTCCATACCCTCCAACATTTATCCAATGAAAACAGGGACATCCTAAGGAAAAGTGGGACATTCTGGAATCAAATCAGAAACCAGGACAGCTTCTCTAAATCAGGGACGTCCCTGGAAAATAGGGACCGTTGGAGGGTCTGACAGAATAGATGTAGCTCAGTTTGCAGATAATTCCTAATTGATGACTCACGTCCCCCATTTGAATTGTGTTCCCTTTGCATTGAAAGGAAGGGTGTGGAAATAATTGCATTGTTAATTGCATTAAATCCATAATTTAAGTAAATTACATTAAATAGCGGGGCAGCATAACAAATAGCACTGTATTTGGTAGAAACCAAACTGCAGCAGAATGGAAGCAGCGCTTGTAGGGACAAAGACAAGTTGGAATGGAAATTGTTGCCTTCTTACATCTCTACCGTGGGGTGAGGAGGTCTCCTTCTTCCCACAGATCCTTGTCCATGAGGGTAGGGCCCATCCAGGGTGAGAGGTGAAGGATTTTGCCATCATTTTCCTTACTAGAAAGATCCCTAGCAGAACTACAGTTCCCAGAGTTCACCTGGGAACTTTACCATTCAGGCAGGTTAAGACTGTACAGTAGATTTGCCTGCAGCAGTACTAACTTTTAGGGTTGCAGGTGCCTAACTGGCACTCACAAAGCTGTTAGAATTCCTGCTCCATGATTGCAGCCCTGGGATTTTTTTGTCTATTACATGACGGTGTATATTTTGACTCCACAAAGTGGGAAGTGATGGAGACAGGATGTTTGTGTTACAGTGGTACCTCAGGTTAAGTACTTAATTCGTTCTGGAGGTCCGTTCTTAACCTGAAACTGTTCTTAACCTGAAGCACCACTTTAGCTAATGGGGCCTCCTGCTGCTGCTGCGTTGCCGGAGCATGATTTCTGTTCTCATCCTGAAGCAAAGTTCTTAACCCGAGGTATTATTTCTGGGCTAGCGGAGACTGTAACCTGAAGCGTATTTAACCTGAAGCGTATGTAACCCGAAGTACCACTGTACAGTGGTACCTCTGGATACGAATGTGATCCGTTCCGGAGCCCCATTCGTATCCAGAAGCAAATGTAACAAGTGATGGCATGTCTGCGCACGCACGCGTTGTTTTTCGCCACTTCTGCGCATGCGCATGGTGTCATTTTGAGCGTCTGCGCATGCGGGAGTAGCAAAACCCAGAAGTAATGCGCTCTGTTACTTCTGGGTTGCCGCGGAGCGCAACTCGAACGCGCTCAACATGGAGCATATTCAACCCGAGGTATGACTGTACTGTGTTCCATGAAGTGGGACTATTGTCTTTTGTTCTTTTTCTCTTTGCTGTCTGATACTAGAGAGAGGGGGAGCCATGTTGCAGTGCTCCGTGTGTGTTTATATATAAAGTAGATTAGCCAAAATGCTGAGTTGCTGAGGTCTGTTATGCAACTGCACAAACTCTGCGGATCCCTAAGTGTGCTGGTGTCGGTTGGCATCGGTCGCTGTGATGTTCGGGCTGAAGAAAGCTTTTGAAGTTCCTGAACGATCGACCAGGAGGGAGAGAACATGCCAATCGGGCATGTGTCTCTGCCAGGGTCCTACTCGAGTGTAGACCGAGCTCCTGACAAAAGCTTGGTGATTAAAAAGAGGAGGGCAGTTGCACAGCCACCATCTGTTCTGATCAGCCACCTGTCCAAGGTCTGAAAATCCTTCCTTTCCTTGAAAAAGGTACTGGAAACCAACGCTCTTGGCTAGTCTGATGTTGGTGCTCTCAGAAATAACAATCTCCGGCTTTTAAACTGTAACTGTTGCCATACAGCTCGAGGATGGCATCATTATGCCCTGGTTTATCCGGCCCAGATTTCCATATAAGCAGATACATATAAGCAGATATTAGTCATTGCTGCCACCTCCCACCCTCCAGCTTGTTGATTTATTATTCCGGTATTCAAAAGGTGCCAAATGGCCATCGCCCGTGCTCCGAAAATATCTGAGAGTTGTGAAGACAACAGCTGTGGTGCTTACTGCAGGGCACGAAAGAGGATGTAGGCATGTGAGGGATCCGCTGCCAGTCTGACACAAGAGGTAGGGTGACCGTGCGTCCTACTTTGCAGAAGACAGTCCTCTAATTGGAGAGCTGTCGGAAGGCAGTCTTCTGTGTAAAGGGAAAACTCTGTCTAAAGGGCTCTCTGGCCTATATCCAGTTAAATTAAAAAATCTCAAGGAAGGGATATCAAGAACCTGGAGATTTCCCCAGGGACTGCAGACTAAGCAGGCATGCAAGTTACTGGAATGTAGGCAGCATTCAAACCATTCAAGTAGAGTGGTACCTCATGTTAAGAACTTAATTCGTTCTGAAGGTCCATTCTTAACCTGAAACTGTTCTTAACCTGAGGTACCACTTTAGCTAATGGGGCCTCCCACTGTCACCGTGCCGTGGCAGTGCAATTTCTGTTCTCATCCTGAAGCAAAGTTCTCAACCTGAGGTACTATTTCTGGGTTAGCAGAGTCTGTAACCTGAAGTGTCTGTAACCCGAGGTACCACTGTAGTTTGATAACACTGTAAACAGTTGCGGCTTCCTCAAAAGAATTATGGGAGCTGAAGTTCATCAAGGGTGCTTAGAGTTGTGGCTAAACAACCAAACTCTCTTCCCAGGGAAATGGAGAAAGCTTGTGGTGGACTCTCTGTCATTGGAGGTTTTTAAACAAAAGATGGATGGCCATCTGTCAGGGATTATTCTGGTTGTGGTGCTCAATGCAAAGGGTTGGACTAGATGACTCCAACTCTGCAGTTATATGAAGCTATCAATTGTGGCAGCGAAGTGAAGGCAGGGCAGAAAAAATACGCCACGTATATGGCAGTCATCTTCAATGCTGGGTAAATTACTATTACGAGAAAGATAAATTAAGAGGAAAACATGATTTGAAATGCAGCCCGCTTTGTACAGTTTAAATGCAGCCCCTAATATATATCATCAAATTATAGCTGTAGAGGTGATTAAGCTTTGGTCCAGTGAGGTCAACGGTTCCTGTTAACAGCATTTAATAAAATAGAAAAGGAGAAAAAAATCTGAAAACAAGGGAACATTTTTCAGAGAGACATTAGAAGCATTTTCACATAGATCTGCTCTCACACGTCTCACCATGTGGCTCCTCTCTGTGTTTGACCCGGCTATTTAAATGATGCAAGAAGGGCAGGCTGCACACTGGCATCCTGCTCGAATCCCTGGGAAAAATTAACCTCCAGTTTGACACCGGTAAGTACAGTACTTAGGAATTAACAAGCCTTTTTTTGTAAAAGAGAGAGAGAGAAAATACATCCAACTGTGAGTTCAGCACTCCAGTGCACCCACATCACGTACGTGTGAGTTCACATGTGCTTGGAATTGCTGCTTGCACACTAAGGGTACATTTGGATGTAGGGGCAAGGGGAGTTGGGGGAGTTGGGAGGGAGGGACTTGGGGTGAGCTGTGTCGGCATGCAGAGGGCCAGGAGGCCAGCTGGCTAACCCCGGCTGGGCCCTTCCCTTCCAGCCATCCCAGTGCGAAGACTATCACCTCTGCTCCGACGTAAATCAGCGACCTGGGCTTCAAAGCCAGGGCACACTATCAGCAGATCAAACTGTGCACACAGAATAGGCGTGAGGCTTGTGGAAGCATATTACAACTATGGATTTATTAATCATAAATCAGGGCAAAGAAACATGTCGTCTCTCTCTCTCTCTCGTCGTCTCAGAGAGAACAGCAAAAGAAAAAGCTATACACACAACGGAAGTTCCCAGCAAGCTGTGCTGGAATGTAAACAGACATGTGACATGGAACAACCCCACGTGAGGAGGAGCAGGGGTGAGGTGCAAAGGGAGGGAGGGTCAGGTGTAAATGGAAGTGGCTGGAGAGTGGAACAAGCAGGGCAGCAGCCCCTAATGAATGTGTTGGGGAGTGGGTGGCACTGTGGTCTAAACCACTGAGCCTCTTGGGCTTGCCGATCGTAAGGGCAGTGGTTCAAATCCACATGATGGGGTGAGCTCCCATTGCTCTGTCCCAGCTCCTGCCAACCTAGCAGTTCGAAAGTATACCAGTGTGAGTAAATAAATAGGTACCACTGTGGCAGGAAGGTAAATGGCATTTCCATGCGCTCTGGCTTCTGTCACAGTGTTCCGTTGCACCAGAAACAGTTTAGTCATGCTGGCCACATGACCCAGAAAGCTGTCTGTGGACAAATGCTGGCTCCCTCGGCCTGAAAGTGAGATGAGTGCCACAATCCCATAGTCACCTTTGACTGGATTTAACCATCCAGGGGTCCTTGACCTTTCCATTTTACTGTACAGTCTTACCTTGGAAGTCAAATGGAATCCGTCCCAAAAGTCCATTCGACTTCCAAAACGTTCGGAAACCAACGTGCAGCTTCTGATTGGCTGCAGGAAGCTCCTGCAGCCAATCGGAAGTCACGGAAGCCCTGTCGGATGTTCGGCTTCCAAAAATAGTTCGCAAACCGGAACAGTCACTTCCAGGTTTGCGGTGTTCAGGAGCCAAAATGTTCGAGAACTAAGCTGTTCAAAAACCAAGGTACAGCTGTATATATAACTGTTGTAAACTGCCTTGTTTTTGACTTTTTTTAATAAAAGAGAGAGAACTGGCAGTATGCAAGTATATATACATACATATATATATATGTGTATATATATATATATATATATATATATATATATATATGAAACTCACAGCCAGATGGCTCAGGTGTCCCTCATGGGAAAGAGTGATAACGTGCTTTGAAGAAATGCAGCCAATCTCATTACCAGCAGAAGGTCATATAAGAGCATATGCTTGCTCTAGATAAGTTTCCAGAAACTAATTAGGCTTCTGCTGCACATGGTTAACTGATGTTGTACAATCCCAGGCCTACTTGTTAGAGCAGATGATCCAGCTGAAGCCAACGTTGATTGCTTTGTGGGAAGATTGGCTGGGAATCGTCCCAGTGAGTCAGAGTAGCTGCTCTTCTTCTTCTTCTTCTTCTTCTTCTTCTTCTTCTTCTTCTTCTTCTTCTTCTTCTTCTTCTTCTCCTCCTCCTTCTCCTCCTCCTCCTCCTCCTCCTCCTCCTCTCCTGCCCCCTTGATGGTACTACCTGGTATAAGCCAGTTTCAGTGTTGGCTTGTGCCCACTGGGAACGATAGGGAAGAAGGAAAGGCAACCAGAGCCAAGGACAGGCAAACCCACCCACCCCCTGGGGTCAGAGACTGGGCAGAAGAGGAATAGTGGAGACCGCCTCCCCACCCTGACCCTTCCAGGGAGGAGGAAGAGGAAGACTGTGTAGATTTACAACAGGGCTTTGAGGGAGGTCGCAGCTCAGAGGCAGATGAGGGGGAAAGCTGGGAAATCATGGGAGAGCCACAGCAACACCCAGCTGACTGGTTGTCATTAGAAAGCATTCCCGACCCTCCATCTTCCAGAACCAGGCGAGCCTTAAAAGCAGGAGAGCAAAGAGCTCAAAGACAGAGGGCATGTAGCGTAAGGTTACCAGACGTCCCCGTTTCCTGGGGACAGTCCCCGGATTTACAGATCAGTCCCCATACAAAATCCATTGAAGTTGAAAAGTGTCCCTGGATTCATTGAAAAAAATCTGGTAAACTTAATGTAGCAGCACCCGTAGAGGAAATGATGAGAATGAGGAAGGAGGAAGTGGGAGAGACGGGGGTGGGGGTGGAGATTCACTTGGGACAGCACCATTATCCAAGAAGCTGGGTTCTATAGCCTCTCTCTGTAAAGACTGAAATAAAAAAGAACTGTAAGAAACTTTTCCTTGTCTCTATACTTTCCTGGGCAACCAGCCAAGAGCCGCTGACAACATCCCGATACCTGGACTCATTGCAAAAACAAGGTGGCAGGGACTGCTTGAAGGTCTCTTGAAGTTGGTGGGGCAGTGCCCTATTAGCTCTAATGGATGACTAGCCCATAGCTTCCCAAACTTGAGTCTCCAGCTGTTTTTGGACTACAACTCCCATCATCCCTAGCTCCCAGGACCAGTGGTCAGGGAATGATGGGAATTATAGTCCAAAACCAGCTGGAGACCCAAATTTGGGAAAGCCTGGATTAGCCTATGCTGGGTAGTTTCCTATTTGCCTAAGAAATTAAACAGAGAGCCACATATAATGTCTGCCTGAAATTCCCCTCACGGCAAACGGTGATGGGAGTCGCCACTCCCTGTCTTGCCTATGCAAGACCAGCACTCACAGGATGAGGTCCGTGCAGAAGGCTCGTTCATGGCCTCCTCCCCTGGTTTATTATGGCAGAAAAGCATTGACTAAGTTACTGAGTCGGAACATAACCATGAATCATTGTAGCAGCTTGTTCACAACATCTACAGACACCTGTCTAGAGGGAAAATATCAGCAAAATCCAAGCCATGTTTACTCTAAAGTAAATCCTGTTGCGTTCCCAAGAAACTACGTGTAAGATTGCTGTTATGTACTGAGTTGAATAGGATCTAAAAGGCAGCCGTCTGATTGGTCCTAGAACAATAGGATTCAGAATGCAGCAGTCTGATTGGTCCACAGGAGCCACCCAATCCAGCTCTAGGTGGAAGTGAATCCGCAACCTGATTGGCCTACAGGTGAATCCCAGAATTAGCCAATCATGTGGGGCCCATTGTGTAAATAATGTATATAAAGCAGACATTCTGGGGGAACTTCCATTCCTCCTCACCACTATGAGCTAAATAAAGAGCATGAAATCCACTCTCGACTCTGAGTATATTTCAATTGCCATCTTAGGAATGACACCCACACCCCAATTAATCCCGCTGGGGGGGATATGTATGCAGAATGGGGGTACGGAACCGGACTTCCTCCAGGTGTTGTTTGAATGCTGCTCCCGTCAGCTGCAGCCCTCAGGGTCAATGGAAGATGGTGTCTCTAGACATCTGAAAGGCCACATGCTTCTCACTTGTGCCGAAGCCATTCTCCTTAGCTGGATGAGGAATCCCATCCAGAAACAGGTGCTGAGGTAGCGGGTGGCTGTTTTTCCTTCCTTTGACAGCTTCTTTGGCAGGAGAGGTATCAATGTTCAACATGACAATGAAATAAAAACTTGAGCTCCGTGGAACAAAGCTGGGGTGTAAACGTACCAAGTAGGGCTCCATTAAACTGGCTCCATTTAAACTGAACAAAATGGACAGGAGGGCAGCTGCAGGGGTGGGCCTTGGGAATATGGTGCTCTGTGTGAGGCCAAAATTTGAAGCCTCACCGCCAGCACTACCCAGCCCAAATCCAGGTGAGGGAGGTGCCTAGGGTGGCCATATTTCAAAAAAGTGAAAATCCAGACACAAAGGTTGTTGAGCAGGGGTCAGCAACCTTTTTCAGCCGTGGACTGGTCCACTGTCCCTCAGACCATGTGGTGGGCTGGACTATATTTTTTTAGGGGGGGAATGAACAAATTCCTATGCCCCAAAAATAACCCAGAGATGCATTTTAAATAAAAGCACACATTGTACTCGTGTAAAAGCACCAGGAAGGGCCCACAAATAACCCAGAGATGCATTTTAAATAGGACATGTTCTACTTGTGTAAAAACACGCTGATTCCCAGACCATCCGCAGGCTGGATTGAGACGGCAATTGGGCCGCATCCAGCCCACGGGCCTTAGGTTGCCTACCCCTGTTGCTGAGCTTTTAAAAGTTTTGCCCAAAGTTGTTGAACATTTTTAAAAACAAAATCCACCAAAATCTACACTTCCGACATGGGTTGCCATACGTCCAGATTTCATTCCAGCGATTTCTACCCAGACACTGTTTCCTGGCTGTGTCCAGGAAATTCCCCCCCATCTCCTTCCAGAACATGGCAAGTGCTAGACATTGGAAAGGAGGCAGAGGGATTCTAGGACACTGTCAGAGCCCTCGTGCCTTGTTACCAAAGCCCAACAGTTACTAGGGTTTGGGAAGAATGCGGGGAGGTGGCTCTTTGGTTCCTGTGCCCTGTGCAGGGGAACTGGTCACACTGTTAGAATTTCTGCTCCGTGACTGCAGTCATAGGATTGTTGTCTATCACATGACGGTGTATGTTTTGACTCCACAGAGTGGGAAGTGAGGGAGACAGGATTTTGTGTTACTGTGTTCCGTGAAGTGGGACTATTGTCCTTTGTTCTTTCTCTTTTGCTGTCTGATGCTAGAGAGAGGGAGCCATGTTGCAGTGCTCCGTGTGTATTTATATGTAAATAAAGTAGATTAGCCAAAATGCTGAGTTGCTGAGGTCTGTTACGCAAGCTGCGAAGACTCTGTGGATCCCTAAGTGTGCCGATGTCTGTTGGCATCGGTCGCTGTGATGTTCGGGCAGAAGAAAGCTTTTGAAGCTCCCGAACGATCGACCAGGAGGGAGGGAACATGCCAGTCGGTCATGTGTCTCTGCCAGGGTCCTACTCAAGAGTAGGATGAGCTCCTGATGCACACTGCCCTAAATCCATCTCTGACAGCCGGATGTGGAAGACCTTGCACTGATTTTAATCGTATGTTGGGGTGGGGGTGTCATACTCCAGGAATGAGGAAGCTGAGGCCCTCCAGATGTTGCTGGACTCCAGCTCCCATCATTCCCAGCCAGCATGGACAGCAAAGAACATAAGAACTTAAGGATCATAGAAGTGTAGAATGGGAAGGGGCCCTGCGGGTCATCTAGCCCAACCCATGCAATGCAGGAATCTGAGCTAAAACATACCTGAGAGATGGACACCCAGCGTCTGTTTTAAAACCTCCAAGGAAGGAGAGTCCACCGCGTTCCAAGGGAGTCCGTCAAATATAAACAGTTACATCGAATATAGAATAATCCACAATTGAGCCAACTGATAAGATCAAAATATTAGTATAAAAACCAGTACAAAAATCCCAACAATAATTTTATAGCTGCTTCCTGAACATGCAGAAATTCTATCTATTAGACATGTTTTTCCCCTCTCGGCACATATTCACAACATTCATAAGAACCACATAGGTTCATCCTGAGCGAGGTGGGTGGAGAGAGAATTGCTGAACTCAGTACTCCCAAGAAGTATTAAATAAAGAGATGGTGAGAGTACAATTGAAGTTAAGTTTTGCATACTTTATGTGAATGGTGGTGGGGATTTTTAAGGGGGGGGGATTATCGAATATTTTCCCACATCTCCCTTTCTGAAACAATAAATCACTCGGTTTATTTACTATGTTCATATCCTGCCTATCTTCCAAAATGTCAACTCAAGGCAGCAGAGATCCTATCCAGACACTGATGAGACTATAGAAGTTTCATACAGAAGTTTATTCCATTTCCCTGACATGGAAATCTAGCAAAATATAGGGGAAGCATAGTGCTCAATTCTGCCTTAATTGCTTCCAGAAGAAAAATCATTTGCATCCAATTTAACCCAGAAAATTGCAAGACTGAGGTGACAAAATTTGGGGTAGTATACCAGCATACAAAGGGACGCAGGTGGCACTGTGGTATAAACCACTGAGCCTCTTGGACTGGCTGATCAGAAGGTCAGCTGTTCGAATCCTCATGATGGGGTGAGCTCCCATTGCTCTGTCCCAGCTCCTGCCAACCTAGCAGTTTGAAAGCACGCCAGTGCAAGTAGATAAATAGGTACTGCTGTGGCAGGAAGGTAGACAGCATTTCCATGCATTCTGGTTTCCATCACGGTGTTCCGTTGCGCCAAAAGCAGTTTAGTCATGCTGGCCACATGACCCAGAAAGTTTTCTGTGAACAAACGCCGGCTCCCTTGGTCTGAAGCGAAATGCGCACCACACCCCAGAGTTGCCTTTGACTGGACTCAACCATCCAGGGACCATTTACCTTTTTACCTTTACCAGCAAACAGTTCTTTCCTGGTGTTTTTGTGAGTGACTCATGGAGGAAAAACACATGTGCAGAAAGTAGAGCAGTAGCAACGTTGTCCAATGACGTTCGTTGTTCTGCCACACTATGTCCATTGGTGTGCATGAAATTTAGTGCGACATGCCAATATAATAGTCCAAAAGTCACAGTTTTATAACACAACAGGTACTGTGTTGTGAAAAGAACATTAGAAAACAGGACACACATGAACCCTGGACCTTCTGCTTGCTCAGTTACCCTTCATTAATTTTGGTAAATGGCTGTACAGTGGTACCTTGGGTTACATACGCTTCAGGTTACAGACTCCACTAACCCAGAAATAGTACCTCGGGTTAAGAACTTTGCTTCAGGATGAGAACAGAAATCGTGCTCAGGCGGCACGGCAGCAGTGGGAGGCCCCATTAGCTAAAGTGGTACCTCAGGTTAAGAACAGTTTCAGGTTAAGAACGGACCTCCGGAACGAATTAAGTACTTAACCCGAGGTACCACTGTATAACATATCAGATAAATATACTGAATTGTTCTCTGTTTTAACATTTCTCCTGCATTTTAACTCAGGCCATTCTCCACCAAAGAACAAGAAAAGAAATGGCATTTGAAAGTTATAAAATGGGGAGATAAAATTTTGGAGAAATTCTCATAGGTGGGACAAAGGAATTATGCGATGCTTGACTTACTTCCAAGATGGCCAAGAAATGCTTACATTTGTTGTTGTTGTTTAGTCGTTTAGTCGTGTCCGACTCTTCGTGACCCCATGGACCAGAGCACGCCAGGCACTCCTGTCTTCCACTGCCTCCTGCAGTTTGGTCAAACTCATGCTGGTAGCTTCGAGAACACTGTCCAGCCATCTCGTCCTCTGTCGTCCCCTTCTCCTTGTGCCCTCCATCTTTCCCAACATCAGGGTCCTTTCCAGGGAGTCTTCTCTTCTCATGAGGTGGCCAAAGTATTGGAGCCTCAGCTTCAGGATCTGTGAGCACTCAGGGCTAATTTCCTTAAGAATGGATAGGTTTGATCTTCATATATCTGGTGCTCTGCAGCCCCCTTGGGTGCCCATGCATTCTGTAAACCCCATGATGTCCTCAACTGGCGTTTCATGTAAGTGTAACAGGTAGGGATCCTGCCTGCTTTGAGAGCTTCCCTTGGGCACCTGGTTGTGGGAACAGGGTGCTAGTCTAGATGTGCCATTTCCCTGACACAGGAAGGATCTTCTTATGTTACGCTCTTACCACGTTCCTGACTGCTGTTCAGTGTTATTTTAAAGAAGTAAAGTCTTTTTAGTTTTAAAGAAATCTGTGCAGAAAGTTCCTTTTTTTCACAAGATGTCATGACACAACCTCTCCCGTGGGGCTGTTTTCGGAGGAGGAACTGTGGGGAGCTGGGGAAGACACAGTGTGCTGGAGAAATGTTTCACGAGAAGGGAAAAAACACACCCACACTGCCCATGG